TATGTTTTGTGTGTGTGTGTGTGTGTATGTATTTATCTGCTCCAAAGCAGGAAAATAGAGAGGCGAGACATTTATGGGACAAAGAAATGGGCTATTACACACTTGTTGTTATCATGGGTTATTATACATTTGTTATATATGTTGATGATAACGTTTATAGTATCCAAACTGGACTGGCGAGAAATGTGTTTGTGTTGGGACATTCACTTTATAACATAAGTGATATATATGATTGAATATATAAAATAAATTTTAAAAGCAGGAAAGCTGTAAGCTAACTTTAATTGGTACGTTATGCCTTTTGAAGCAGAAACTCCCATATCACATTATAATGAAATTTGTTCTGAGGACTTACATGGGAGCACCTCAATAGTCAATAAGAGAAAGCATTTAACTGAAAAATTTAGAAAATCTCTGGTTACTAAGGATTAAAGAGGAAACATTAATTTTGTAAATGTTCCAGTGACATAGTCTCCATGCATCATGTTTCAGATAATTTTGCTCTATATTTCCCATATAAAACTAATAATATGGAATTGGTAATCATAACATAAAGGGTCAAAAATTTAAATGCTAGAAGCAAGGCATTTATCTTAGCTATATCCCATAATGTTAATAACTTATCATTTTTTTTGCACTTTTAACCGAAGAAATAAGAAAAAAAATAGCCTTCATTGATAATTAAAATTGGAAGAGAACCTCAAGGGTGCAATACATTCCCTGCTTCTGAGCAAGGTACTTAAATGCAGAAATCTGTTGACAGATCTAATTTTTACCCAATAAATATTTAGTGTCATTACCATTTTATATTAAGTAAATTATTAAATTCCTTAGTGGATGATTTAAAATTCAAGTTAACTTGATAAATTGAAGCTATGATTTGGAACAAAAATCTAAAGTGTTTACTGAATTCTATCACTTTCAACTGTGTCGACTACATACTTATTAAACTTACTTTTAAAAATCTTCAAAATTCAAAAACCATTCTATTGAGATTTGGAAAAAAAGCATTCTAGTTAGACAAAGGATGAAATAATTAGCAAATTAATGTGGCCAAATGATACTCAATAAAATTCCAAGTTTAATAATTAAAACCTCTATTTACATCTGGTTTGACTATACATTTAAGTACCCTTCCCTCACATTTAAATGAAACATTTTAATTCACCTGACTAAATAAGTAAAATTTTATTCTTAACCTGATCTGGTTATATGATGTACCCCAAATAAATCTAGAAAAAAATAAACTTTTCATCAACTATGCAAAATTTGCACATTGAATCAGGAAATAAGTTAATGTTACTTTATCCCTGCACAATCCTCAGTCAAACTCAGATCTGTAGTAAGATTCCCTGGGCAGGAAGGTATTATTTTTTGGAACAGTCAATCAAATTAGAGTCAAGAACATGAAGCTTGAGCCTGGTTGCAGAACACACCTCTAAGTGGATAAGTCCTGTACTAACTATATTTTAAAGCTCAATGTACTAACTTTAGGTAACATAGCTTAGAACATTCAAGTCTAATGCTATTATTTTTTCTCACTACACAGAGGGGCTAAGCTCTCAGGAGACTGCATTTTATAGTCTAATATATAACTTTAGATTGTGTAATTAGAATCATTGAACTCATTAATATCATTACTCCTATTCACTCTACTATAAAAATTAAGAAGTTTATTTTCTCCAAGCATAAAGAAAATTGTTCATGATATCTCACTACTATCAGGTAAGAGTTGTACATATGGTCTTGGAATTGACATGACTTCATTCTTTTGAGAGACCAAAGTGTGTCGATGGCACAAAAAAAATTTGAACTATTAGAATTGGCAAGTGATGAGTCAGTGAATTTGTCTTTGAACCATCAGAGTCCCATGTGCTGACAACTTGACAAAGTACCAGCAATAACTAAAGACAAGAATCTCCACTGGACTTTATGGAAGATTTCCCTTTCATTCTCCTAATAATTTATACTATCCATCTTGGAGAAAATCATGGGCACGTAAAAGCAAGTAATGTGTATCTTTCAAGTATCACTGGTATGATGCTGAGCCAGAACATAACTGAAATATTTTTTTGTAAATATTTAAAATATTTTTTTACAAAATCCTACAAATATACTGCTGACAAATTCAGGAGCTCTGAGACTTCAGAAGTATATAGTATATGTCCATATATATGGTAAGGTAATATACAGTTATCTTTTCACTAATCTCACTAACAAGTCTTTTCCTTATCTGAATATGCAGCTTGATAAATTCCAGATGCCATGTTTGTCTCTTTCTCTTCCCACCTCTCTCTCTCTCTAACTAATTAGGTTTTAATTTAGTTTTGTTTTTAAGTTATTTACACTGTATTACGTTTTTCCTTTGTAAAAAAGAGATGCTATGAAGAACATCTATTCATTTCATGCATTTACTATTAATAATATATACTTTGTAGAAAGGCAGATTTAAATGCACTTAGAAATGTCTAGTTGTA